TAGAAGAAGACAAAGACAAAAATTGTAGTTTAGGGAATGTATAGTTGACATTGATATTTGCTCTCCAAGACACATTGTTATTTGAAAGGTTTAATTCCTCTAAATCACTTGACTTTCTTAAGATATTTGGAAATTCACTCAAATGACAAGAAGCTAGATGTAGGACTCTTAGTTTGGGTAATGTATAATTGACATTGAAATTAGTTTTCAAAGACAAATTGTTGTATGAAAGAGAAAGATATTCAAGATTTTGAAATTTTGAAAACATGTCTAACTCTAATGTACCATTCAAGTCATTTTCTGATAAATCAAGAGAAGTAAGATTCACAACATTTGTTATAGAGCTAGGAATTGTTCCGTTGAATAAGTTACCACTTAAGTCCAAATAGACTAACTCTGAAAATCTACCTAAATCAAAAGGAATGGGACCAGAAAACAGATTATATGAAAGAGAAAGGAAAGTAAGTTTTGTGAGGTTGGAAAGTGATGCTGGGATCAGACCACCTAAATTGTTCGATGAAAGGTCCACCATACTAAGCTGTGATAAGTTCCCTATTGAAGATGGAATGGAACCTTTCAAGCTGCACTTAAATAGATTTAAAACTTTCAATGACTTCAACTTGCTGACCGAGTGAAAAAGTTCTGAGCAATTCATGTCGTATAGATACAAAAATTCAAGAGGACTACTCAAATTAGGCCTTGAAAGACTAACAGTAAGTTGTTCACTTCCACCTAATGTAAGAGACTTAAGTTTTGGAAACTGGAGAATGTTGTGTGGAAATTTTCCTTTCAAGTCAGAAAAAGAAAGATCAAGATCAATCAAAGAAGAAGAAAGATTCATTACGTAACGAGGATTCAAGGATGACAAGTTCACTTCCCTAAGGATAAGTTCTCTTATCTCACTTAAGTTTTGAGCAAGATTCTTGAAAGTTGTTTTTTCAAGTTTCAACTCAGAATTAGAGAGATTAAGTGAAACTAACTTAGAAAGGTGGGTGATCTCGTTCGGAACTTGTCCTGAGAACACGGAGTAAGAAAGGTCAAGGTGCTTTAAGCTCACAAACTGACCAATTTCCCTAGGAATCTTGGAAAGCTTAAAATCATTGTGGGAAAGATTGAGGCTTTGCATACTTTTGATGAGAAAAAGGCTGCTGTTGGAAGGGAAGGAGCCATAAAGGTTGCTGCAGCTGAGATCAAGATCAATTACATTACCCGTGACATTGTCACAAGTGATCCCATCCCATAAGCAACAGTCTGTACCCTCCTTCCATGACTCTGTATAAGAGTAAGATTTAACACCAGAAAAATATTCACACTCAGAAGAAGCACTCTTATTGATGGAAAAAGCACTAATGAATTGCAACAACACTGTGGCATGCTCGTGAGAGCAGAGCTGTGTTGCTGAAGAAGAAGAAAACGATGAAGAGAACGAAAAAGCAAGGAAAAACGAAAGCAGGAAGACCAATGGACAGAGCTTTAGTGAGAACCCCATATTTTCTCTTAAAAGAGTTGAAATAGTAATGGATTTCTTGTGATTTTAATGACTGGTATACGGTGGTATTTATAGGAGAATCAATACGTTTACATATCAACCATTTACTGAACTAAAAGAAATCTTCTCTATAAGATCATTCTGGGTAGCTTCCTACTTGAAGACTTTAAGAAGAGTACTGTACTTGTCATGTGGACTTGAGATTCCTATCCAACCGTTTAAATGTTGATCTTTCATTTCTCATCTATCAATTTGATTAGTACTCAGTGCTCCACAAAATTGTTATCTGTTTCAGTGATTGATTTTGTGATGAAAATTAACATAGAATTAAAAATAAGAATGTTGAAAAGTCTTTTTAGACTAGAAGACAATCACTTAAATATTTTTCTATGGAAGAAATTAGAGAGCCTTTGATTTGACTGACAAACTAGAGACGTCTATTGAGTACGCAAAACTTCTTGAAAAAATGTGCATGTGCTTGATAAGGAATGGTATAAAAAGTAAATTAATGCAGAAGCAAAACTATTAAGAGAGTTAAAAAGTATCATGTTTTTGGGGTCAGCAAAAATCCATGAAAACTGAAAATTAATGAAAATTCATATTATAAGAGAACAAAAATCTGAATGTTATTTTCTAAATTAATGTAAAGGATTTGCCTAGTGTTCATATATATGGTTGTGGAGAGAAAATTAACAAATTAATTGTTGAATGTTATTTTCTTATTGGATTGAGTGGCCATTAGATTCAAAGGAAAAGTTTTCGTGAGGAGAGGGACGATGTCTCATTTTTTTTAAATAAAAAAATGAAAGTGACTGCTTTAATTTCTTTTAGAGTGACGAAAGGGGCGATAAACATTTTCCTAGAAACACATGCCTCTGTGTAGGGGAATTGTGTTTTTTTATTTTATTTATTTATTTTTTTTATGCACTATAAGATTAACTGTATTTATTAATTAGAATGTAAACGATTTTAGATGATAGATGAGATTACTCTTTAGAATTATTCTTTTTAAATTTTTTCTATGGTTTCTCATGTTAACTTAACTACCTTAAAATTTTTTTAAACTCTCAATAAAGTATTAAATTTAATATTTAATTTTTTTTATAAAAAAAATAAGAATAAAGTGTCACATTAAAGTAATTAAATATGAATGTGAGATGACTAATGGGTTAAAGCCTTAGTGTTGGTAACCACGGCTTTCCCGTCGGGTATAAGGAGCATCAACTCACTACAAGCTAGTTGCTATTAAATTGATCGGCAAATTAAATTACTTATTAATGCCCCTAGAGGATATTCTAAACTCGATTGATCCTCCTACTATTGAGAAATCACAGCAACTGGAGTTGTCAAAGCATGAATCACGTGAGAAAAATAGCTCAGCAGATATGGAAACAATATCAGGAAATCAGGCTCAGCAATTATGGAAACAATCTCAAGAAGGCAGGGACAAATCATATTCAAAAGCAACGGTCAAATAATGTGCCGTTGAGCTTCCTCAATGTCAGGCATAATTATAGCCTCAATCAACTTTTCTGTAAATATAAATACATCTCTTGTACACCAATGAATATAGTGAATACAAGTTCAGTATTCTGTCAATCTTTCTTTGCTTTTCTTCATGGTATCAGAGCAGGTTGTTGCGTGCATCTGAATACCAAGTGTTGTGTCCTCTTGCATCTGAATTCACTCTCTTCCTGTTTTCAAATCTAACTCACAAGAAAATCAAACTCATGGCAAAGAACCAGAATTTGCTTACCATTCAAAGCTTCCACCAGATGGCAAGCCTTGTGTCGGTCAAGCTGTCAAGCACAAATTTTCTGCTATGGAAATCACAGATCTTTCCACTAATTCGTAGCGCTCAACTCATACATCATCTAGAAGAAGAGGCTCCAGCTGCAACGATCAGCAAAGGTGGAAAAGAAGAGCTCAATCCTGACTATGCAATTTGGCTAAATAATGATGGCTTACTTACTAGCTGGTTACTTGGAACCATGAATGAAGAAGCATTGAGCCTCGTCGTCGGCTGTGACTCAGCTTTTCAGATCTGGAAGTGCTTAAAGGAACATTATTTGGCATCAACAAAGGAGCAAGAATTGCACCTTAAAGGCCAATTAGTAGTCAAACGAGGAGATGATGAATCTCTTGAAGATTTCATAAGAAAATTCAAGAGAACTTGTGACAGTTTAGCTGCTATACGTAAGCCTGTTGATGACTTAGACAAAGTGTTTCAACTCTCCAGAGTAGTAGGGGGACGGTACCAGCCTTACAATCTTGCTGTCTTATCTAAGCCCCCATATCCTACCTTTAATCAATATATTGCAGGGTTACAAAACAATGAAAGAGATTTGCAGGTTGCTGAACAGGAAAGCAAGGATAAAGTTCCAAACTATGTCCAAGCCTTCGTTGCACAAAGGGGCAGAGGTCAACGTGGTAGAAGCAATGGTAGCAGGTACTTCAACTCTAGAGGTAGAGGATTTGTTTAAGCTGGAAACTATCGACATAATGTGTCCAACCATAGGAATCCTATGATCAACAACAATCCTATACCACAACAAGCCATACCACGAAAATTTCAACCGAGAAATTCAACACAACAAGGTGAGAATCAGTGTCAAATCTGTGGTGTTGCAGGCCATACAGCCTTAAAATGCTGGTACAGATTTGACCATGCCTATCAAAGTGAAGAATTACCTCAAGCTCTTGCAACGTTAAGCCTATTGGAAGACAAGGATCAAAACACTTATGTTGATACTGGAGCTACTGACCACATGACCTCAGATACAGGTAAACTTTATACTAAAAGACCTTATCGTGGTAAACAAAAAGTTTTCACAGGTGATGGAACTCCCTTGCAAATTTCGCATATTGGTTCTACCTCCATTGGTTCTTTAAAACTTAAAGATGTTCTAGTGGTTCCTAATCTCAAGAAAAATTTACTTTCTGTTAGTAAGTTTACTGATGATAATTCATGCATTTTTGAGTTCTCATCTAACGGTTTTGTGATTAAGGACCAAGCAACACAGGCGGTGCTAGCCAGAGGCACTAGGAAAGGGCAGCTGTATGCATTGGATGAAGAGGAAAAACATGTTCTTGCTGTTATTTCAAATAAGGCTACTGATTCTATTTGGCACCAAAGACTAGGACATCCAAATTCTAGTGTTTTAAAAACTCTAGCATCAAAGAACAGTATTATTGTATCGAATTGGACTAAGCCTTCCTATTTGTGCACTAGCTGTCAAATGGGGAAGAGTTGTAAGCTCCCTTTTTCAAAAAATAATGAAAGAACTGATTCACCCTTTGAAAAAATACATTGTGATTTATGGGGGCCTTCTCCAGTGCAATCTATTAATCATTTTGCCTATTATGTGATATTTGTAGATGACTATAGTAGGTTTACATGGTTTTATCCTTTGCATAGAAAATCTGACTTCCTTAGTGTTTTTCTAAAGTTTCAGAAGATGGTTACAAATCAGTTTCATAAAAGCATCAAAATATTCCAATGTGATGGTGGAGGAGAATTCTCTAGTAGTGCTTTCATTAAACACTTAGAAGACTGTGGCATCAAGCAACAAGTATCTTGTCCTGGTACTCCAAAACAGAATGGTGTTGCAGAAAGAAAGCATAGACACATCGTCGAGACAGGTTTAACTATGTTAATTCATGCTAATATGCCATTGCGTTATTGGACTGACAGTTTTTCTACTGCTATTTTTCTTATTAATAGGATGCCCACTCCTGTACTAAACAATAAAACTCCATATTATCTACTGTATGGTAAGGTTCCTGATTATTCAATGATAAAAGTTTTTGGATGTCGATGTTTCCCATACCTTAGAAATTATTCTGCACACAAACTCCAACCGAGGTCCCTACCTTGTGTTTTCCTTGGGTACAGCCAAATACATAAGGGATATAAATGCTTACATCCTCCTACTCAACGTATTTATATATCTAGACATGTTGTTTTTGATGAATATTTTATGCCTTATATTGATCTTACAAAGCTTTCAAAGGATGTTAATACAGATGGAGAATTATGCAAGTACCCTGACAGTGATGAATGGCTTCAAGCCTCAGCAAACTTACAACCTTCAAGGCACTTGGATGAGAATTTGTTGACTTTCTTGACACCTTCACACCGCACCATCACTTCTAATGAGGAGGAAAATAATCACAACAGCAACAACCTTAAAGGCAATGTTGAAGAAACTATAAGAGGTGCTCCCAATCCCTGTCGAGAAGAAACCAATGTGACACCATCACAAATCCTGACCAGAGAAGACAGCACTCAATTAAATAATACTCAAGAGGATTCCAGGTCTTCTCAATCATTCGAAGGATCTAATTCAAAAGAATCATCATCCGCCCAAGAAGAATCTGGATCTCCTCAACCGTCGGAAGTCTCTGACTCTGCTCCCTTAGAAGCAACAGATGGACATCAGCACCTTGAGGAACCTGTTGTTTCTAGCCCAAGCTTAGCACGAAGTGGAACAACTCCTCCACCTCATAATGCTTCCTCGGTTTCCCATCATCCTATGCTGACTAGAACCCGAACTGGAACTCATACAGGACATGTGAAGACCAATTTTTCTAGACATGCTCATACTATGACCACTAATAAGTTTTCTTTGCACATTGCAGGGCCTGACATTCATGAACCGAAATCTGTCAAAACAGCACTAAAAAGCTCACACTGGGTCAAGGCTATGCAAGAAGAACTAGTTGCCCTGCAAAAGAATGCAACATGGACACTGGTTCCACCACCTTCACCATCTATCAATGTTGTAGGCTCCAGATGGGTATTCAAAACTAAGCTTCATTCTGATGGCAGTTTGGACAGATTCAAGGCACGCTTAGTCGCTAAGGGATTCTCTCAGATACCAGGAGTAGACTTTGATGAGACTTTTAGCCCTGTCCTTAAACCGACAACACTACGCTTAGTTATAGCACTAGCCACCACCCTTAAGTGGCCTCTTCGACAACTAGATGTGAAGAATGCCTTCCTTCATGGACAACTTAAAGAAACAGTATATATGACTCAACCACCAGGCTTTGAAAATCCAAGTTATCCTAACTATGTCTGCAAGCTCAATAAATCCATCTATGGGCTCAAACAGGCTCCAAGAGCATGGTTTGATACTTTCACCTTACATCTTTTGAAAATGGGTTTTAAGTGCAGCCAAGCAGATTCCTCTCTATTTGTACTTCATACCAACCACGGCACTGCTTTACTTCTCCTTTATGTTGATGACATTGTTCTTACTTCAAGTTCAGCAAGGCTTCTACAACAAATCATTGATCATCTTAGTGGAGAATTTGCACTCAAAGACCTTGGCACTCTTAATTATTTTCTTGGAATACAGGTCACTACATTTGATGGAGGCATTTTCCTATCACAAGGACAGTATGCTAATGATCTTCTTAGCCGGACATCAATGCTTGAGGCTTCCACAATTGCAACTCCATTGGCTGTCAAAGAAAATCCTACTTCAAGAGACATGGAGCTGGTTGATGCAAAAGAATATAGGAAAATTGTTGGTGCTCTCCAATATTTGACTATCACTCGAATTGATATATGCTATGCTGTGAACAAAGTATGCCAATTTATGCAGAACCCCACTCTTGCCCACCTCCGCCATGTTAAGCGCATCCTAAGATACATAAAGGGTACACTGCACTATGGTCTTCGTTTTTACTCTTGCAACACCTTATCTTTGACAGGTTTTTGCGATGCTGATTGGGCCGGCTGTCCAACTACAAGAAGAAGCACAACAGGATACTGTATTTTTCTTGGAGAAAATTGTATATCATGGTCCTCCAAAAAGCAACCAACTGTATCACGATCAACTGCTGAAGCAGAGTACCGGGCATTAGCCTCCACCACAGCTGAGATCGTCTGGCTCACCTATCTTCTTCGTGATATTGGAATTCCCTTGCTCTCCCCTCCTCAACTATTTTTTGATAACATAAGTGCCCTCCATATGTCTATTAATCCAGTCTTTCATGCTCGGACCAAACACATTGAATTAGACTACCACTTTGTTCGAGAGAAAGTGGCAATTGGTACACTAGTGACAAGATACATGCCTAGCACTGAACAACTAGCAGATATACTTACAAAGCCACTGCCTCGACCACAATTTCAGTTCTTTCGGTTCAAACTGGGAGTGGCTGCCTCACCCCACTCTAGTTTGAGGGGGAGTATTGAGAAATCACAGCAACTGGAGTTGTCAAAGCATGAATCACGTGAGAAAAATAGCTCAGCAGATATGGAAACAATATTAGGACATCAGGCTCAGCAATTATGGAAACAATCTCAAGAAGGCAGGGACAAATCATATTCAAAAGCAACGGTCAAATAATGTGCCGTTGAGCTTCCTCAATGTCAGGCATAATTATAGCCTCAATCAACTTTTCTGTAAATATAAATACATCTCTTGTACACCAATGAATATAGTGAATACAAGTTCAGTATTCTTTCAATCTTTCTTTGCTTTTCTTCATAATCAACAACCGAAGATATCGGAATGGTAGTTGGTTCTCAAGCAAGAATAAATCTAGCTTTGCAAGTGCAACTAGATCGATATTACCTCCCAATTTCTCCCCCATGTTGTTCACATCAAGGTATATGAAATACAACACTGCACGGCAATCCACAAGGAACACCCATGCCAAGTCCTCGTCATCCCAATTTTTCTTCCACTCTTCTTGTTCATCGGGATCATAGCACTTCTTCAGGCTACTCAAGCGGTTCTTGACATTATTGTAGAAATCTTCCTTCGTACTGCCACTCTATTTGATGAACCGCGCCGTCAATTGTAGCTTGAACTTCTCAGCTCTCCGGACTCTTTGAAGTTGAATCAGAACCATTTTCACTGAGATGGTGCAGTGGACCGATTGCAACAGAAATTGGTTGGAAATATTTTCTAATTTCCTCTTTGTCACGAAGGATCGGCGTAACCCTCTGTATCAAAGGCTGGATTGACGCTCCATTTGATAGGCAGCAGGCTGATTCCTCCAATTCCAAGGACATCAATCTGGCAACCTCCTTTGGGACTATGTTGGCGCAGTTGAGCAAGTCCGCTTATTTAACCTCAGCCTTGCGATCGACACAAGTTAATACATATGAAAGATTTTGCAGCCTAACTGTATTTGGTGTTTTAGGTGTCTTTAAAAGCAAAACCTTATGCTTCTACATTAAAGTAGGAATATCAGTTTATTACTTTGCAATGATAGCAGGCTTGGTATTGGAATTTTAGTGTGAATTGCATTTTTCCTTAAAGAAAATGCATATACTCAACGCACCTATGTTTTACAGGCCTTAGGAAGTGATGCATGTTTTTTTTATTGAATGTTTCAAATTCAAATATTGAAACGGATAAAAAAAAAAAAAAGACTTAAGAAGGGAAAGCTCCATCCTCATTTGTATAGCCCGTCACACCAACTTAAAACACATGAGAAAAATATTTTAAAATATGTTGCTAATTAGCTGAGATATTAATGTCCAATTTTTTTTATATATTTAAAGGTTTTTTTTATTAGATTTGTATATTTCAAGTTAATTAGCTGTTTCTATCAAAAAAACCGTGTGAAGTTAAAAACGCTTAATATAGAAAAATCAATGGACAATTTAACTTTAATTAGTGATGAAGTACAAAGTTTGCTTCATAATTTGGAAAAGATAAAGCTTCATTCTTAGTTGGGAACTAAGATTACTTTTCCCTATTGTAAAGACATATTAGTGAAATGAAACCAAGTGTAATTAAGACAAAGACATATAAATAGGTTTACAAGTACGAGTGAAATGAAACCAAGTGTAATTAAGACAAAATTTTATTGCTTCAAAGTATGAAGGGTACTTTGCCGTTAGGTTTACAATATTTTCTTAAGGGAAGAGATTCATTTACATATAAAAATCTTACATATTATATTTATATAAAATTTTAATCATTTATCTCTCCATTCAATAGTTAAGATATATTACAACTTTTTAAATTAAAAAAATAATTTTTTTTAATAAATATGAATAAATTTTAACTATTGAAAGTGAAAAAATGAGTGATTAAAATTTTGTATAACTGTAATTATTAGGAAAAGATAATGCTTCATTCTTAATTGGCTTAGTTGGGAACTAAGATTACTTTTCCCTTTTGTAAAGACATATGAGTGAAATGAAACCAAGTGAAATTTTATTGCTTCAAAGTATCGAGGGGTACTCTTACCTTTAAATTTATAATATTTTCTTAAGATGAGAGATTCATTTACATATAAATTTTATACATTATACTTATACAAAATTTTAATCATTTATTTCTCTACTTTTAATAGTTAAAATTTATTACAACTTTTTAAATAAAAAAATTATTATTATTAATAAATGTGAATAAATCTCAACTATTAAAAGTGAAAAGATAAATGGTAGAGATTTTATATAAATGTAGTGTATAAAACTGATAAATAAATGGATCCTTCTCTTTTCTCAATTATGCATATGTAGAAGTATATAGCCTCCTACATATTGCACTCAAATCTGGAATTAGCATTTTAACGCAAAACAAGCTGAATCTAAACTAAACAATTGTTTCAACACATGTTTTAGGATTACTGCACCACTAAAATAGAGAATAAGAAAACCCATTCTCCTAGCCCTTCAGCCAAAGAAAGGCTCTCATTTAGATAGCCTCAAACAAGTTGTTAATTAAGGTTTCGTTTAGTGTAATTGTAATTTTTAATTTTTTGCTTTAGTTTTTATAAATTTTGTAATTTTAAACAAATAAAAAAAAAAACTAATTTACTTAGATTTATTTTTATAATATATTATTATAATTATTAAAGAAATAAAAATATAAATAGTTTTTGTAATATTTCAAATTTTCGGGAATTTTATCATTTAAGTTAGGGACTTATTTCGGGAAAAATATTATTTGGAGACTAATAGTGAAAAGTTTGAAACTTGAGAGACTTAAAAGAGAAAAAAAAATTGGATAAGGATCAGCTTTTTTTTTTTTCCTTCTTTCTTCTTCCTCACCTGTGCGTCTGCTCTTCTTTTCTTCCCCTTGCACCGAGCAAAAAGAACCCAGCCAAGCCGACAACCCCACTTGGAAAACCGGTAAGGAGGCTTGATGTTATCCTTCTTTTCTTGTTCAAGAACAAGATTTAGAAGCTTGGAAACCTCCCCCCTGCAGAGAAAATCCCCGATCTGCTCTGCTTCTTTCCTCCTCTGCCGCCGGTTGCTGCTCTTGTTTGTGGGTGCGAAATTTTTCAAATTTCTGGTAAGAACAGCCACCAATTCCTCTGTTCTTCCTTGAATTGACTTGGGTTTACCTTAATTTCTCTTGGTTCTCCAATTTTGGGTTAATTCCGTGAGTCCCCTGCAGATTGCCGCCGGCCTTCCCCCAAACTGCAGCTCCGATTTTTGCTGCTAAATTCTGGTATGTGACAGCCCCTTTGAGCCTAAAATTATCCTTTAATTGCTGAATTTTGTCCATTTATTTGCTGCCCTGTGTGTTCGAATTTTCTGCTGGAAATAGGGGAGAAATTTGACAGTAATTAGACCATGATTTAGCTTAATTCATGTAAAAAATTTGTTTATTTTGGCTGTTGTGATTTTTGTAGAAAATCCGTGAGATGGTTTTGCCAATTTTGGAAGTTGTAGTTACTGTCCATGGCATAATTATTGTTCACGGGGTACTGTTCACGATACTGTTCACGCACTAATGGCCAACAATAGTAGTGTTTAAATGTTTAGTTTATACTAAGAATGAAATTGAGATGTTTGGTCATATGGTTGAATTTCGTGTGAAGCTTATTGGTTAGTAAATTTGCAAGGTTGTACTAGTAATTCTTGTAAAGTCTGAATGTATTTATTTGGAATATTAGGTGCTATTATGGCTTAGAGCACTGGGATTGAATCTTCAGTATTACGGGTTTGAGGTAAGTAAATTTATGGTAATGCCCGTATAATTTTTAAAAGCATGTTTTGAGTTGTTTTTGAAGTGGTGGCAAGATTAAACCTGTTTTATACAAATATGAGTATGACTGATTTGAAATGAAATTATTATGTTTTCTATTGAATTGAGTATACCTACTTGAAGTTTATTTAACTGCCCTGATGATTTGGAAATGATGTGTAAAGTATGGTTTTTTTGTTAACTTCTGCTTATATTGTCTCCGACGTGGTCATGTTATTAGTGACCCTGCTAGTGGGGGTTATAAACGCTAGCACATGTCGACATGTTATTGATAGAATCGGTTCGTTCAAGTGACCCTGCTAGTGGGGGTTATACACCAGCAAATAGTGTGCCTGCCAGTGGGAGGTTTATAACACTGACCGTGACCTATAGAGAATACGTCTATTTCGTTCCCGTACTATATCCGTTTTTTGTGATTACACTTGTTGGCATGCTATAAGTTTAATAAGAGGCACTCCATATTTACTTACTGAGTTATCTCATAGTTTTTTCTTGTCCACCATTTCAGGAAGCGAAGTCAAGGACGGGAAAAAACAAGAGGAGTGACAAGTTAGAAGGATAACCATCTTGTAAATTGAACATAGATTTTAGATATAAATCGTGATCTTGTAAGTTAGACTTTATTTGGAGATTTTATAAATTCATTGAATGGATTGTTAGTTTACAAGAGATTTGACCTGGAGATTTTGAGATGAAGTCATGTTGGACATGGAATTATTTTTGAAATATATGATTTAAGTTATTAGATTGTCAGATGTGAATTCGATAAGTTCCGATCCTTATGCATTTGTAGGACCCTCTCACGAGTGCACGGCGTCTGCCACGTCTCTGAATTCAAGTTCTAGAGCATGATAGTTTTAATATTATTAAATAAATTTATATTTTTTGTTATTAGTGTTAAAACTCATCTTAAAGACTAGGTTATTCTGA